GAGGGGAACCATACCTTTTTTTTTTTTTTTTGCTTTTTTTTTTTTTCAAAGTAAGCTACATTCTTGTCTCAATTAAAAAAAAAAAATTCACCTCACACTACCTACCTACCACTACTCCAGGACCTACCTTTCTCTCTCGTCCTTTTGGCTAATAAGTACGATCAAGTGCAGTATTCAAGTGCAGTATTGAAGCCTCCCATAATGAAAAGGGACCACTTGAAGGGGATGCTCTTATCACCTCCTCTTGGGTCATCATCCCCTTCGGAGTTTCGTCAAAAAAAAAAAAAAAAAAAAAAAGATCAAGTGTAGTATCTGTTCTGATCAGTTTAGTATCTGATCGGTGGTCCATCGCACCACAAGATATTAAATTAATTAAATTTTTTTTTTTCTGGGCCATGGAGGAGGGGTCATACGGGTAAAGCTTTGCTTACTCGACCCCTCCAGTTTTGCCTCTGGGAAAAAAAAAAAAAAAAAAAAGAAAAGGTGAGGGGAACCATGTCCCATTACTGAGTGTGTTTGGGACATCATGCCCCGCCCTACACGGACGGCCTCGAACCAGCACCCTCCTGCACAGAAGCAAAGTATCGTAACCACTACAACCCTTGGAGGTGTTATAAAAACTACATCCATACTGGTCCTGATATGCAGCCCACCTCCAGGGCTGTAGCGTCCTTGAACTCACACCACACACACACGCACACCACACCGCGGACTCGAACAATCCACACACACTTCGCTTGGACAACACGCAGCTCACCACCGCTACTTTACCCCGCTCACACACAAGGGCCAACTGCCCGGGGGTTCACGGGCGGCTTCACAGTGATTACTGAGCAACGTGTGTTTGGGACATCATGCCCCGCCGTACACGGAACTGGGGCCAAGTCTCACTAGTAGCAGGGGGGTAGAATTGGTTTTGGGCACCCATGGGTTCGTGGGGTCCGATTGGAACATCTCAGGGACACACTGTGGCCATGTTGAAAAATATTCGATTTATGTGTGTCATCCTTGCGCAGGGGCCGTGCTAATCTTCTTTCTCTGTATGGTTCCAATTTTAACGGATGTCCCGAAGGACATGTTGAAAAATAAGCGACAGTGGGACTGAACCCTTGCTAGTGGGACTTCCCCAGGGGAGAGGTCCCACTGGGAAAGAGGATTGGATTGCACGCCGAGGTACAGAAAATAGTGACTGATCTGCTTCTCTGCATCTCTGGGTAAAACACATCCAGATTCAGGCACTCCATCTCATCCTCTTTGGTAGTGGGACTTAGGGCCAGATCCCACTGGCAAGGACGATTGGAATAATTATCTGAATCTGGACGTGTTCGACGCACAGATGCAGGAAAGCAGATCAATCACAGTTTTCTGCACCTCGCCGCAAACACGTCCAGATTCAAACACTCATTCCAATCCTCTTTGCCAGTGGGATCTGGCCCTTAGCTCCAGGAATCTGAGTTGAGAATTTGTTTTTCCTTTTTTTTTAATTAAAATTTTGGCCCATTTCTTGATTTATGCATGTCATCGGTGCGCCGGGCCGTGCCCTAAAAATTTTCTCTGTATCGTTCCAATTTTACCGGATGTCCCCAAAAATTCTAACAAATTTCCCAAAGGACAAGTTAGTATGAAGTTAGTACGAAGTTAGTATGAAGTTATGAACACATGAATTAGGGTCTCGCTCAACTACTATCCGCTATACAGATTTTCGGAGAGTTTGTGTATAGCTGTCAGAGTGAAAAAAAACGTAGAGTCTGTGGCGTCGCTCCACTTAGGGCCTTGCCACAGCAATGTCGAAACAAATGGTTCGGACATTTTTTCTTCGCCACACAGACTGTCGAAGAAAAAATGTTGAAACCACTTCGACATTTGTCAGGAAAAGGGTTTCGACATCCGTGTGAAACCGCCCGCCTGCCGGGAGCCAAAAAATCAACACCAGCGTTTGGGGTAGCGAAAGGTGTGCTGTTTTGGACATGTGCCAGGGTCGATTCGGCGTGTCTTGGAGATGTCAGCGTTCATCCGCGTCAATTCCGCGCGTCTTCTACCTGTGCTGTGTGGCAAAGGCGGGGTTCTTATCGAAAAACCCTATGTCGAAACATTTCTGACAGTTGCCGGAAAAACTTTGCCGTTTCGGACATACCAGGTGTGGCGAGCGAGGCCCTTCCTATCGGGTACACAACTCTCCAATTCGACTCCAAAATGTGGTTTATAACGAACAATAGTGGGCGCACGCGGATACTGCAAAACGACGAGCGGTCATATTTGTCGGTCCAGACTCGAGGTTCGCCATCCAAAAACGCGGCGGGACCGTGGTTTCCTTCGAGGAGTATCCGAGTAACGACTTTTGCAAAAAGGTAATGTGTGAGCCGAAAGCAGCAGCAGGGCGGCGGGAGCGCTAGCGTTGGCGGCGGCGGAGGTGGATGGGCCGCGGGAGGTTTCCGGTCCGTGCTGCAAGGCACGGACCGGCTAGGCCATCGCACCTTGGGAGGTGGGGAAACACTTTCGTTTTCGTCAATTTCAAGACATCCCGGATGTTCGAAGGGCGGGTTCTGGACTAGATCCAGAGGGGTCGATGGAGGTGTCTCTGACACCACGAGGGAGAGAAGACGCGTAGGCACCTCTCGGGTTCCTACCACATGCTGTGTCACCCAACACTGCTCGCTGCTAGAAGTGGGGGAAATTATCTTGGACTGCCTGGCTGTAAGGTATAATGGTCCGACTCGTATTACCACTGTGGTTGATAGTTAGAGATGTGTAGGCAGAGGATTGGAGAAATAGGACTGTTACCAGGCTTGGTTGTATTCACCTTTTTATTTGTTTATTTAAGCCAGTCGGAGATGGCTGCCTCGACTTCACGCACGGATCCTCCCTGAGTCAATCCGTTGACGGACGAAGGTAAGCGTCATATTCGAGACCTTCTCACCAAGTGCTTTCAGGAAGGTACATTACCGAACAGGTTAGCACATGGGTTGGTTGAATCGGGGGAAGACTACGTTAGAGTAACTTTTGATGAGGATATCGTGGGAGTTCAGACGGATTGGCTGAAGGAACATGCGATCTCTATTTTTTTCAGCGAGGAAGCCTCCTCACTGCCTGTTGAGGTTAAAAACCGATTAGTACGAACACATGAGAACGGATGGGCGGCCGCCGGTTTACCGGATGTACCCCCCATTCGAGGAACCTTCTCCAACGAAGGTAAAAACCTAGCCACATATGTGGCTTCGGCAAAACCAATTGCAGATTGGATGCTTAGAAAAGGTGGTGATGAGATCGAACTTGACGGTAAAAGATATGTGTTGACTTTCAAACCATGGATGGATATCCTCCAATTGCAACGCTGGAAGGAAGCGATGAAACAGAAGTTCTTCTGGATCAGATGCATGGAGGTACCGGTGGCTGTGCTAGGATTGTTAAGAAGTGTCGTACAGGACGCGTTTGGTCCAATAATAAAAGACTACCCAGCCTACAAGAAACAGCTCGAGCCAGACTTGAGGAATGTTCGATTTGATTTGAATCCGGCGTCCAAATTGTGATATAAGAAGTATCTGGATATTAATTTGAAGCGCTATGGATCCGTGAGGGTGAAAGTTATTTGCGCTGAGACTGCCTGGTGTCCAAAATGTCGTCGCCATTTCCACAAGGAAACGGATGACAGTTGTCCGGCTAAGAAGAAGAAACGTATGCCCGACCCCTCAGAAGAGCTTATGAATAGAAACGAAGAGGAGGAGGATAAGGACCGGGACAAGGATTCAGAGGACAGGAGGGATGGAGCAGGGGGAGACAAAGGAAGAAGAACAAAAGATCTGAAGAGAGGGAAAGGGAAAACGTGGGTTCAGGTGGTCAAGGGGAAGGAGAAGGGTCTGGGTCATTCGGGGCGGAAGACGGGAAAAGGGAAAGGGGGACTAAAAGGGCCATCAACAAAGGTGGCGGTCAAACGAGGTGGAAAAAAGGAGAAGAAGGTAGACGAGGGGAAGGAGGGGACAGAGGAGGATCGAAGGATGAAAGGACTGGATGAGGGGGATAGGGAGGAGAAGGTGGGGAAGGGAGAGGAACGTGAGGATAAAGAAAAGGAGGAGAAGGAGGGAAGACCGGATGGAGAGCGGGAAGATAAAGAATCTCAGGGAGAGGACCACACCGAGGTGAGGGATAAAGGGAGTGGAAAAATGGTGGTGGAGGCGGATAAGGTGAAGGGTGGGACAGAGGAAGGGGCAGAGGAGGACCAAACGAAGAAAGGTTTAGACGAGGGGTGTAGTGAAGAGAAGGGGGGGAAGAGGGAGGACTGGACGGACAAAGGAGAGGTTGAGGGGGAGGTCAAAGGGAATGAGGAAATGAATATGGAGATAGATAAGGGGAAGGAAGGGACAAAGGAAGAGACAGAGGAAGACCGAATGATGGAAGGCTCAGAAGAAGGCAGCAGTGAAGAGAAGGTGGGGAAGGGGGTGGACCGGACTAATAAAGGAGAGGATGGGGAAAACAAAGGAAACCAGGATGACGAGCAGGAAAGACAAGGAGTCCAGAGAAAAGATCATACCGAGGGGGGAATTGGAATGAATGAAGTGGAAAAAAGGACCTGGGATTCTATAGATCCCTGGGTCCAGACAAAAGAACGGAAGGATGGACCACTGAATTTTAACTTTGTTAAAAGTTCACAGGCCTCCTTCGACTTCCAAGGCCCCGCTTCGACAGACCAAAATACCGTACGGGAGAACAGTATGTCAAGGACGACCTCCAAGCCTGATACCCAACCTCAGAACTCCCACTGCAGCGAAGGACCAGCCGCTGGAACGGGGATTTCACCTCGAGTAACAAAGAGGAAGTCCCCTGTGACGGCGGAGGTGGAGACAATGGGAGAGGAGGGAGGGAGAACAGAGGATGGGAAATCAGGGGAGGAGGGCCGTGACCTCGGGATCTCGGTACTTTTTCAGGAAGGGCGCATATTATTTGAGCCTGCCTGCGAGACAAACGCCCAACCCTGTAAAAGATCTCGATTGGAGGACAACAGGGCCAGCACGACGATGGTTGAACAGAAAGGGGAAGGCTGTCATGAGGCCGACCCCCACTCTCAACCTTTAACTAAGAAGAGGTCTCTCCCCCGTTCAGTAAGGAAAAACCTCCATCTGACTGCTCCAATGGAAACGTTGAGCAAGGCTGATCGACAATCGGCCCAGGTGAAGGAGTTTTTGGTACCCTTAATTTGTATTGATTCCTTGCAGGGTCTTCTGGTCTGCACATAGCGAAACAGGGAGGATACCTTGAATATCCCTTGGATAACATTGGATAGACCTTTCTCGGAAGAAATGGCCCTGAAGTTGACGAACCATCAGGTGTTTAATGACCCAGGGGCTTGTGTCTCCATTGCTACTCCGAAAAGAGGAAGGCACATCGTCCCCCTGTCAGAGAAACGGAAAATCCTGTTGCATTTCATCTTCCTGGGCATCTCCTCGGTAAACCCCAACTTTGAAACCTGGTGTTTGGAGAACATTCTATGGTATCCGTTGCAGGATTTTTTTACTCCAAATCAAGAAGCCTTGGCAGGGATTCAATTGATGTCAGGGCTAAATGCAACAGTAATCCATGAGTGGTTCGTGAAAAGGGATGCGCTGACGATATTGTCAGGTGCTAAATTCCGCTCACTAATTAGCGCAACCGGTTTCCCGCCAGACACTCGTAGGGTGTTTACGGAAACACTACTGGAGAAAGAAGCCAACACAGATGACCGCATCCAAGTAAGCGGCACAGACCAACAAAATGGTCCTGCCCAATAAGATAAGACTTGCTAGCTGGAATATGAAGGGTCTTGGTGACACTAGTCACAGATACAAAATACTGCGGCTTCGCTCGTGGATACACAGTAAGGCAGTTCACATAATGTGTCTCCAGGAGACAAAGTTGAATTTCGACAAAATGCAGGGTACAGTAAACTGGTGGAGGGGCCCCCAGTTTTGGGCTCCGGCCGATGGATCTAAAGGCGGTACGGCGATCCTGATCCATGAGGAGTTGGACTGCTGGGTGGTGGACTCATACATAGACCAGGAGGCCGAATGGTGTGGGTGAAAATGGCAATAGAAGAAGAGGAATGGGGAATAATGATTGTGTATGCTCCAACGGGCTACATAGATCGAATTGAATTTATTGCCTCCCTCCCTGACATGATACCAGACACAGATAACCTAGTAATCCTAGGTGATTGGAATACAGTCTTAAATCCGGGTCTGGATTCTCCGGCTTGTTCCCCCCCAAGAGTCGACACCATTCTGTTCAATGCCTTTTTGGAATCTCAATGTTTGACGGATACTTTCAGATTCTTTAACCCAGAGGACCCGGGCTACACTTGGTATGGACCGAAACCCAGCCCGAGAGCTCAGGCTCCACGAAGAAGGCTGGACTTCATAGTGGCAAGAGGCACAATATGGGACCGCTGCATAATGTCAGAAATGAGAATCTCGAATCTTTCAGATCATTACCTGATATTAATAGATGTGATCTCTAAGGATATTCTTGCTCGGGAGCGACCTCCTTTCCGATTGAACACGAATATTTTGAAAGACAGAGGCATTCCTCGCTGGGTCTCAACTCAGATGGAAGGATGGATAAAGGCAAAAGACGTGTTTAAGGATGAGTCTCACTGGGCTGAAGTGGGCATCAACATAATTAGAGCAGCTTTGATCGAATTTTCTAGAATGAAGGCCGCCCAAAGGAACTGGGCGGAAATACAATTACAAAACACGGTAATAGAGGTCGAGGCTCAGTTGGGACTAAACCCTTTCTCAGACCACTTCTGGTCGGAAAAAAGGAAAAGCGCCCTTGCCCAACTGGAAGAAATGGAAGTTAAAAAGTAAGCCGAGAGGCTGGACTGGCTCAAACTCAGGGGGATTATCGGCTATGATAGAATGACAAAGTTGACTTTTCGTTCTTTGATTCTTCGCCAGTCAAGACCCTTGATAAGGGAATTATCACATCCCTTCGCAGTTAATGTGCCAAACGCAACAGCTACAGTCGAACTGTGCCACTACGCCTTCGAATATTACAGGGATATAGTGTCTACAAGGCGGGCGACCAAACAAATGGCTGTGGGCAAGTGCCCCGGCCTTGATGGCTTGCCAATAGAACTTTTTCTGTCGGCATGGGGGGCCTTTGCCCGCTTTCTCTGCGACATCTATAACAGAGCCTTGACGACGGGGTCCTTACCTCCAGGCTTTGTGAAAGGTGTGATTTCCCTATTATATAAAAAAGGGGATAAAAAAGACGTGAGGAATTATAGGCCGATATCCCTGTTGAACGTGGCTTATAAAATATTGGCGATAACTTTGGCAATCCGTCTCTCAGAGTTCCTTCCTGAACTTATAGGCTGGGAGCAAGGGGCGTTTGTCAAGGGCCGCTCAATCTTCGAGAATATACTTACCACGATACAAGCCCTGGAGGTGATAGGGCGTGAGAAGAGGGAAGCGGCGGTCCTGTTATTGGATATGGAGAAAGCATATGATAAGGTGGGAGGGACTTTCGTGTCTACTACCTTAACCAGGATGGGATTCGGGCCTGGGTTTTGTACTTGGGTTAAGGCACTATACTCTCAGGCTACATCCTCAGTAATAGTCAACGGCAGAGTATCTGAGGAGTTCCAATTGACTCGGTCCCTACGACAAGGTTGCCCGCTGGCGCCTTTACTTTTCGTAATACAATTGGATATTCTATTAGATAATATCAGGTTCAACCCTAGAATAAAAGGCCTCTCCCTGTCCCCATCTTTGGAAGGGGGGAGCCATAGCGGATGACCTCACCATTGTTTGTGAAAACAATGAGGGGGCTCTGGCAGAGCTGAAGCTGGTTCTGGACAGCTACTGTGTTCTCTCAGAAGCTTCAATAAATTGGCAAAAATCACTGTTCTTTCTACCTCAACCATATACATTCAAAGCACAATGGGGTTTGAGACATTAATACAGAGAACTCAGAAAGATTTTTAGGTATTCAGGTTTCTCTGTCGGACTGTTCGGAGGCCCAAGATCAGATGCTGGTGGGCAAGGTTGCTGCTAAAGTCACAAGCTGGCAAAAAAAGCACAAGCCATCTTTATTTGGGAGAGCATTGGTAATTTCTTCGGCAGCCTTTTCCGCCCTATGGTACCCTCTTACGATAGTGAGAATGGGAAAGGAAGCATATTCTACAGTAAAACGGTACGCTGCTAAATACTTATGGAAACCTGGGGCGGAGGAGGAAGAGGGTTTCATTACTAAAATTGCATGGGAAACGGTGGCACTGCCCAGGTCGGAGGGGGGTCTGGGTATTCTTGACCCAAGACACCAGAACCTGGCCTTGCTGGCAAAATGGCCGGTTAAAGCCATGTTTGATAACCCCTCCAAACTTTGGATCAGAATAGCAGAGTCCGTTCTCAGTACAGAATGGGACTTAGATGATCCTAGTCTGGTGTGGTTGTGCTTGCTTATCCCATCCTTCATTAATAGGAGGTTAAAATCCAGATTATGGAGAGATCTCCTATACGCGTGGAACAAGATCCTCCCAAAAGAATCACCGGAACCTACCACGAGAGGGGAAGTTCTCAACCAGATTCTGTTCGACAACCCAAAACTCGTTCAGACTGACGGAACCCGTTTTATGGCGGACAGGTCTCCTGGGAGCTTCGGACATTCGTGGGTAGTGAAGGGAGTAATTCAAATTAAGCGCACATTTGGGATGAGTTTCTAGATGATTGGATTGGATATCAAACGAGGCGTTAAGAAGGAAACTCCCGCGGTTGAGATATGTGGAGAGGAATTTCGCCGGTATAAAGGCTGCCATACCTAGAACATGGCTACAGTTACTAAGATCCGATGCTGAACCAAGCCTCGGCACATGGGTATACTCGGAAGAGACTCAGGGTATGCTCTGGAGAGTTCCAGGTCCAGATTTGGTAAAAGGCCAACAAGTGGAAGAATGGCGGGTCCCCAGCTCAGGAAGGACATCTTTTGAGCAGCAGATTATTTTGCAAAAAGGAGCAGAAAGGACCGTTCCTTCACTTATAGGCCTAGTAGAAGCCAGGGTGCTAATAGACAGAGGAGCCAAGCAGGCAAGACTCTTAGGTCCAGCTGCACAATTTAGAGTGGAACCGGCGGCCAGGAGCTGGGCTCTCGCGAGGGGCCAGGGGTCAATTCCCTTGATGAATTATACCTCTAAAATTGGAACAAGCACACTGCGGTCTACAGTTAAACTTAAGCCGGCTCTGCAAGCAAATAAACGTCTGGAAACGGCAACTAATGGGGCAGTTGCAAGTTTGGACTGGGAAAAGTTCTGGACAGCACTTAAAGAGTCTGCCATCCCAGAAGGATGCAAGTCTCTTATGGCTTCAGTCAATGTTGGTGGTGGCCTCTGCCCTCTGGCTCTCGCTGAGGGGTATGGAACTGTCAATTCTTGTCAGAGATGTCAGTGGGGATGGGAATCGAATGCCCACTTATGGCTATCCTGCCCTCTGGCGGATGAACTCTGGATGTGGTGGATTTCCCTTTGGCAACAGTCCACAGGAGGGACGTGGCCTTGGCCGGATAATTGGATATTGTATGGTCAATTGCCAGCTGGTGACTCCTCCCTCAGGGAGGGGTGGGGTTATGTGGCACTGGTGTGCAGGGGAGTTATTTTTCAGGAAATCTGGAGGGCGAGAAATTCGTTGGTGTTCACCGGAAAAAAGATCTCATTACAGGAACAAAAGAAGCAGGTCTGCAGTAACATCAGGCATATGGTTCGGGCAGATTGGCAACAGTCCTTTAGAAGTAGGAAGAAAGGGCCTTCTTGGTTCTTGAAGACTTGGGCAAGAGATAATTGTTTGGCCACAGTGACACAGGATCGGAAATTAGACCTTACGGGGTGGTTGAAACCACCCCGAGAGCCGCCGGCGGCAAGGTGGGTACTATTAGCAGACCAGGTTAGGTCTTGCGTTGGTACTGAGGTTGGCTCTAGCGTCGTAATAGGCGCAGCGTGGGGTTCTAGAAGTTTTCCCTCAAGATAGGCTGGGAGGAATTGGATTGAAGCAGGTTTGGTAATTTGGCATGGACTTTCAAGTTGTAGAGAATCTGTTTTCTACCCGTTCGCTCAAGTTGCTGGACTACTCTTTGAAGAAACAGGGTTAAGGTTAGGACTTGGGATGCTGGACTTGGTTCCAGCTTTCAGTCATATTCGGGTTGTTGGTGAGGTTTCCCGGCTTCTGATTACTGAGCTAGGATTTTCTGATAGCTCACTTTTAATATGTGCTCTAAGGTTTAATTTTTGGAAAGTTAATTGGTTGGGACGCTGGACCCGGTTTCCAGTAGGTAGTTTCTTTACATTTCAGGCAGTCAGTTTGGACTGTGGAGCTCGGCTCACAAGCTAAACTGGCTGAGGCTGCCAGGATAACTCCGGGTAGAATTGTGAGGTCCCCGGCCTCGTCCCACTGAATTTTGTAATAAACCTTTGAGCTTTCCGAAAAAAAAAAAAAAAAAAAAAACTTTTGAAAAAAAAAAAAAAAAGGCTGGGAACTATACACCGACGATGGAGAGTGCAATCTACGACCAATATCTGACAATTATCCGAGCGAGTGGAGAGTAAGTGGAGCGACGCCGAACTCTCCAAATTCGGAGAGGGTATAGTAGTGGAGTGAGACACTTAAGAAGAAGAAGAAGAAGAAGAGGATAAATAAAAGCAGTTAAAAAATGCTCTGCTGACGTGGCTACAGTAGAATGCCGGATCAGATGATCAACTTGTGGAGCTGGTGTGCTCTGTAGTTTGGTTGCGATACTTGAATTGCTCGCATGCCTCCAAACTTCTCTAAATTGGTGCTGCAATGCATCTATCAAAGAACACATCCACATGCATATCCTATCATATCGTGCACCTGGCCAGGCGTGCGCCCAGGTACATTTCTGCAGAGGTGTAATATGACCAGTCGAAGCGCAATTATATGCAGACATCCAACTACCAGACATCCCTTCGAGCAACGCCATTCTTATTCTGCACATTTTTTCTTTAGAAATACTTGCACCTCCTTTCTTGGATGCTTCTGACCATGATTTGCAGTCACATCCATTCATTCCTGTCTGTTTGCGCCAGCGAGCGCTCGCGAGCGCGTGCGCGTGTGTGTTGCCATGTTTGCAATCTACAACTCCACAGAAAAAAAACATGATTGCAGTCCAACTTTTTTCACCGACTCGTCAGGAGGTTGAACCTCTGCTGTCTTCCCAGGATCCATTTGACTTAGGGCCTCGTTTGACACCACTTGAAAATACTTGAGTTTCAAGTGCACACTAAATGAGAAATTGTGATTAATTTACACTTTTACTCGACTTATGGTTCCATGTACACTACAGGATTCCGAAACCCTTGAACAGGATCGCTGCACTTGAAACCGAACTGCACGGCTTGCTGATCAATCCAGGACCAGGATCGCCAGCTGGACAAAAAGAAAAAAGAAAAAAAAAAGCCCCACTTGGAGTGCTGGCGGTATCCGCTGGCACTTGAACTCAAGGTACGTCCGGGGGATGACTTGAATTCAAGGGCGATTTTGCCTGTGTCTCCCTTGAGTTTCAAGGGCGTACCCTTTTTTTTTTTTTTTTTTTTTTTTTTTTTTTTTTTTTTCCCCCCCCGGGTTAGTGTTGCTGATAAGAGAAGGCAAAACTACCACCCGGGGGGAGACTCCGTCTATTGGTGGGGAGCATCACCTGCTGGAAAACGGGTCCAGTGTCCCTTGGGACGCAAAGAAGTGAAAACAAAGCGGGTCGCTCTAAGGGGGGGTGGAACGATGATTTTTCACTTCGCTGTTGAACTCAAGTGTCTCAACCACCATGGGGACAACACGCGTTGGTGTGTGTTTTCTTTGTATCCGTCTGAGGGCATACTTTTTTTTTTTTTTTTTAAGTCTGAGGGCATACTCACACTAGGACGTTTCTAAATGATTCTGAGTGCAATTACGGCAAGACCCTGATGTATCTGACCACAATCACGTCCAGACTCCAGAGCTTCGTACACAAAGTCCTAGTGCGAGTACGCCCTGAGTTGTCAGGGAATAGAAACCGGACTGATGCTGTACGGTTCTGAATTGTCCGCGGCTAACAACCTTCGTAGCCATTCCTCTGTCTCTCCTTTTTGTCTTCTGTCTTCTTCTTCTTCTTCTTCTTCTTTCTTCTTCTTTCTTCTTCTTCTTCTTCTTCTTCTTCTTCTTCTTCTTCTTCTTCTTCTTCTTCTTCTTCTTCTTCCTGTCTGATTCGCTGTCAAATCGTTGAATGGCATCTATGATAAGCATATGTCCAGACGTGAAGTAAAAGTCAAAGGGAAACCTCCGCCAGGGCATCACAATCTTCCAAACAACCACTGTCCGCAACTGGATCACATTCCTGCGCACGAGTTCGCTCTGCTGCGGTGGCGCCGGGATAAATGCGGATTCGAAGAAGATGAGGAGAAAGAAGAAGAAGACGAGAAGAAGAAGAAGACGAGAAGAAGAAGAAGAAGCAGAGGAGGACCAAGAAGAAGAAAAGAGGAGAAACAGGAGGAGCAAAAAAGTAGTCAGGAGAATGGAAATGGAGCGTCTCTGCTGCGTAGCACGCCGAACGCGCTCAGGGCCCCACCGAACATCCGAACACATCCGGCCATCCGGCGGTCAAACAGGACCCGAATGCGTTCAGTTGGAAAGCAGATTCAAGCCCCCCAAACACATCCTGTGCAGGCTGGTACCCGGTACCAGAGCCATTTTGGCCATCCTGGGCCACAGGGTACAGTAGGGGGGAGCTGGAAGCAGCTGTCAGCAGCTGTGTGTGTTGTCATATCCGCTATACACTAAAAAAAAAAGCATGACTGTGCCAGACTATTTCGTCGGACTTTCACCGACTCATCTGGAGGTTGTGCGCGTGTGTGTGTGTGCGTGTGTG